TCCTCAAGCCCACAATGCGATGCCACGACACGGCCCCATGCGAGATGCATCTGGCACTGCAAATGCATCAAAACCATGGAGCCGTGACCTGCGTAAATGGCCACCTTAGGAAACTAAGATCAAGGAGATGAAACAAGCCGTGAAAAATAGCACTCCAGGAATCATCTTTCAGTTTAACCGTACGTTATTTAATTCCATGTAGTTATTCATTTAAATTAGATTAAGGATTAAATACTAGAAATGATTTAAATATGAAAAATTTAATAAATACCATGACTGTAAAGCGAACAAACGCTGGGAAGCCATCAACAAAAATGCGGTTTTTAATCATGATTCAAAGTTTAAAGCTGTCGAACAATTTTACGTTATTCATACGATTCTAATTACTGCCATCAAGCATGCAATAGCAGATTTCGTGCAGTAATGTCGCAAGACAATAGAAATATTGTAGAACGAAGGAAGTACCACTTGCGAGAGATGAAGATTCAGCGGCAATGGCTTGATGAACAGGGCGTAGCTTCAAAGGCGCCGGAAAAATTATCTATCGCGAATTGTCACTGAGATGTTCGCTATAGCAGTGGTAGGCGGCATCACTACAGATCATTTTGATTTGTTAGCCATATACAGCGATGAGTTCATGTAATAAAATTCTTGTAGGAAAGGCTTGTGCATGAGAAAAGGAAAAAAGGAAATTTGTTAATGTCAGAATATCGGCCTTTCTTAACTTTCATGACTGAACCACTTTGGTACCCTTCTCTTCATAAAATAAATAGAGCGATGTTGATCTTCGTTTCTATGCCATCAGCCAGGAGTGTCTTATTTTTTTAAACGTAGAGTCTACAGTAATGTAGCAAGCCTAGCGCGTAGTCTCCTTTTTGCTTCCTACAGAGTGATACTCATTTATTAACCTCAGAGAAAGAAGGGCTAGTGACCCTCATCGAGCCTTGAAGTCGGGACCTCTCGGGTCTGAGTTCGACGTTCTACCAGCTGAGCAATCCCGAATTAATGCCAACTAATACCTTTACTCATGTTCAAGCACATCGTAAAGTCTGACAATAGCATAACGTGGGCTCACCGGGACTGTCGCAGACCTTCGCAGATAATTCGATTTTCGCCATTCGTTGACCATCGGCTGTCTTGTTGTTAATACAGAAGCCCGCAGATTTTGTCAGCCGCAAGTTCCATCTGATTTCCATGGCTGTCGGCAACTGCAGAAGCAAAACAAGCAATGAAACGTTAAAACTCCAGTTGACGCTGCTGTTTATATGCACAGTTTAATGGCTAATATAATGTACACGCTACCTTCCACAGCGGTAGAGAAATTAATTCACCGTTAAATTCAAACTTATAACATGTCGATTTGATCGCACTACCCTTAAGGATATGCCTGAGTCTCAAACTCTGCAATGTCATTTGTACGTTGAGGTGTAGTTTACATTAAGGCTCAAGTAGCAACCCGCCTAGCAGGTCAGCTGTTAGGCAAAGGTCCATTCTGTCAACTGCTTGAAGATTTATCGTTATATGCGAATGAGACTCACCATCAACCGATCGAAAACCCTCATTATCCATCGTTCTGTTGTATTTCACATGAGCAAACTCATTCCGATCGCTCGATACCGCACTGGCTCTTTATAATCCATCTTGTTTGAATGCTAGTGTCAATCTGCATTCATTCGCCGCTCGTTTTCCGTCTGACGCTGCCACGGTCGGGCAACGCTATGACTCAGATTTATGATTTACGAGTTGGTAACTGTCGTGGCCATCTTAGGCAGTTTAGCTGGCGCTCCACACCATCGATCATAATCGTTGGGCAATATCATCCATCATCCGAAGTTACGATGAGAATTTTATTGATCGAATTGCGCCGTCGATTATCCAGACTCAACCTGTCTGCATTTAACGTAGCGCAATGGACGATCATTAGACGATAACCTTTAGCAAAGCCAGTATGGCTTAGGGTGAGGCTTATGCAGCAGTGCGATAAAAATGACAATTTACCAGCCTGAACTGAACAAAGCAGAAAAATTCATTTCTGATGATTGTGGTGCTGATAGATTACCGCTCTGGAAAGTAGCACATACAGGGCATTTGTTGGAAAACTTCCAGTGTCGCAAATCTTTTAATGGCGCTTCCTGAAACTGTTATGGCGGCCTGCGACCGGTAGAACAATGTTCAGATACATCACAGGAGTCTACAGTGAGGCTTGTACCTAATTGCTATACCGCACCTGGTCAACTCACTTGCGTGCACATCACGAAAATGCTACTGTTTTCGCACGTGTCAGTACACAAGGATCTTAGAAGCCACGCCTTGTGCGACAAGGCGATTTCAAAGTTAAGTAACTAGGATCTATCGAAATTCAGAAGGGCTCCAAAATAAGCAGTACTCGAGGCGCAGTTGTTGATCGATAAAAAGTCTCTACTGCAAGCAACATGCTACATGAGACCAATGCCATACCGTGGATCATTTTTGATTATGATCTGTACCCATTTGGTCGAAACTCTGGATCTGTGTTCATCGTTAATTTTTTCGTTCACTATCGTGCTACTAATCTTGGAATGAGAACAGGAATTCACTTCGATAAAACACTCTTCATTGGTTCCTAGAAACTTTCGTTCTGATGATCTTGCACACTGGATGGATGGAACAAACTGAATCTTCACATCACCAGCAACCGTTTATATTTCTCATGCATAAGATAACTTCAAAGAAATTGTCACCACAAAAAGCTAGGCTTCTCAGAAAAGTGGGTACAATTATAACGCATGAAACCCAGTTTCGTACAGTATGCGCAAATGATTGTACTTCTAACTGGTTAGCGAACCCATATTATATCGAACTGCATGAAGTTTGATTATTTCGTTCATGCGTCGGTGACCATACCGAAAACAGCGCATAGCACGACTGATTCATACGAAACGTAAACGATATGGTCAATCAGATGATGGACTAGTACCGATGTTTGGCCACTTGGCTCCAAGAGTTAGAATATCTGCTAATCAGAAATTAAAAAACCAACCCTCTGCCTTGACAAAGTTCGTAAAATAAGGGCCTAAAAGTTGGTACTGACCAATCATCTGATTGACCATATCGTCTGTATTTTGCATTAATAAACCGTGTTTTCCGTTGTTTTCACCATTGAACTATCCTATTACTATTTCAGTATATAACCACATTAATATATTATCATATTAGTGTATACTCCATTACTATATAATTACACTTAATATTCCCTGAAGAAGATGAATTCATTTGATTTAAAACGTCATCAAACATATACAAAAGGGTTCTGCCGCATAAGCAAATCCCTTACCAACTACGACAAGGCAGAATATGCAAATAACGCTAAAGCAATCGCCCTACTTGATCCTCAAAAACGTGATTGTTGAACACGCTATAAACGAAATCGACGAATTTCTGTTTGCTTCTGAAGAGTCTTCGAGTAGCAAGAGACTCGGTA